ATATTCTTATTTCATTTATTCTTTATATTGTTTTCAGTGTCTATTTCATCTAGTTCTGTTATAATCATTGTTATTTCATTATTTTCTGCTAATTGTGAATCTTGTTTGATCTTGCTTTTCTAGTTCCTTATTTACAATTGTTATTTTCTCTTGCTGAGTTGATACCTTTATCATTATAAAATGACCTTTATCATTTTATTGTTTTTAATTTAAAGTCTGTTTTACCTAATTATAGCGAATTCTGCTTGCTCTTGATTTCCATTAGTGTGAAATATCTTTTTCCAATGCTTTGCTTTCAGCCTGTACATGTCTTTACAGATAAGGTGAGTTTCTTGTAGACAGCTTATGGTTGAATCATGTTTTTTTTTTAACTCATCTTATCAATGCATGCCTTTTAAATGCAGTGTTTAATCCTTCTATGTTCAAGGTTAGTATTGATAGGTGAGGTTTTGTTCCTGTCATATTTATTATTAATTGTTGTCTAGTTGTTTTATACATTCTCTCTTCTTTATTTTTTTTCACTGTTCATTTTTGGTTTGGTGAAATTCTGTAGTGGTGTCATTTGATTCCTTTCTCCTCCTCCTTTGTATTATTGCATTAACAATGAATTTTATGTTTTTTGTGTTTTCATGATGGTGAATACCATTCTTTTGCTTCCAAGTTTAGAACTTTTTTGATCATTTCTTATATTTCCAATCTAGTGGTGGCAAATTCTATCACTATTTGCTTGTCTGGGAAAGACTATTTCTCCTGAAGCTTAATTCTTGCTGTATATAGAATTATTGGCTTGTAATTTGCTTGTTTTTTCTTTCAACACTTTGAATGTATCATTTCACTGCCTTCTTACCTGCAAGTTTTCTGCTGAGAAGTCTGCTGTTATTCTGAAGTAGTTTCTTTTGTAGATGACTAGATGTTTTCCTCTTGCCAACTTTAGAATTTGTTCATTTGCTTTGATTTTAGACAGTCTAATAATAATATGCCGTGGCAAACTCATTTTTGCATTGTATTTTTCTGAGGATCACTGAGCCTGTTTTATCCATATGTCTAAATTTTTTGATAGACTTGGGAGGTTGTTATACATTATTTCATTAATAGGTTTCCTAACCTTTTTTCCTTAGGAATACCAATAATTTATAATTTCAGTCATTTTAGGTAGTCTCAAAAGTCTTGAAGGCTTTGTTTATTCTTTTTTATTTTTGTCAGACTGGATTATATTTTAAAACCTATCTTCAAGTTCAGATTCTTCATTCCGCTAAATCTTGTCTATTGATGAAGCTTTCAAATATATTTTGTAATTCTTGCAATAAAATTTTTAGTTCCAGGATTACTGTTTTTTTTTTAAGATATCTATCTCATTGGCAAATTTCTTGTTCATATATTAAAATGATTTTCTGATTTGTTTGTATTGATTTTCAGATTTCTCTTGAATTTCATTGAGCTTCTTTAAAATCAATATTTTGAATTTTATCTGGAACTTGGAGGATTTATTTGTGTTTAGCACTTATTGCTGGAGAATTTTTGTGGTTTTTTGAGGGTGTGGTTTTGAGGGTGTGAGGGTTACCTAGCTTTTTCATGTATCCTGTGTCTTTAGGTTGTTTTCTGCATATCTGGTGTAACAGTTCTTTTCATTTTTGAATTTCCTTTAGTTAGGGGAGAAATTTTTCTTAAAGATGTGACAACTCTGTTGGTTGGGTGTAGCCTTCTGGTTTTACTCCTGGGTGTATGCAATAGTGAAAATGCTGTATGATTTATTTAGCTATCCTCAGTGTGTTAGGTAACAGTTATTCATGGGGGCACTGGTGAACTTGTGTTCCAGTTTCAGTGCCAGATGCATCCATCTTCAGATTAAGTGATGGTGAATTAAGCATGTCTATCTTTGTAATCTGGGGAAGCATATGCTGAAATCTGTGTTGGTGGATCCAAGAAAATCAGTTCTGTATCCTCTGAATGATGTACCAGGATGCTAATTGTAATAGCACTGTACTGGGTAAGTGAGTGGGTTATTTTGCTCCTGGGTTGCTTGGGAGTAGTGGATGATGGTGGTGGCAGTGGCAATAAGATGTCCTTCTAGTTTCCACACACTGTACTTTTGTGTTGGAAGTGGCTGAAATGGACTACTCAAGTCAGCCTCCAGGCCAATAGATGATACTTGCAGGTTGGAGCTAGCCAAGCTGGTAGCAGTATGCCAACCTTTGCACCCTGAAAGAAGTACTCAGGTGTCCCAGGTGGTGGATTGAACTGTGGAACATCCAGAAGCCTGACTCCTACAGTCTCATGGGGTTACTAAAGCTGGGTGGACCCAAACCAGGCAACAGGGTGGGCATGCACCAGCTGTGATTGGGGAGTGGAATGGTCCTCAGTCCCCTGGAGAAATGCTTGGGTGAAAAGTGACCACTGCTATGTTGATGTTCTGCCACTGGGGGGATGGTGCTTGTCCCTGTAGTTACTGCTTTGACCAGTGAGTTGGGGGCTGTGCTCCTCTTATGCCCCAGTCCCAAAAGGTGTTTAGTCAGTCCCAGCAGTTCTCACCCAGCCTGTAATTCAGCCCCAAGCCACAGGAGCCATTGTCAAGCTCAGTACCAAGTATCTAGAACAATTATTATCCTGCTCATGTCTGGGATAGTTGCCCAGTTCCAGAACCAGCAGCTGGAGTTCTTGCCATGTTTGCTTCTCAGTTCTGGTTGTGGCAGCACTTTCCCACTCAAGCCCTGGTTCTGCAAGCCACAACCCAAGTCTCCCTAATGCCTAAGACTGCTGTTGTTGGTTCCCAGGATCATGCACAGTTTTATAAGAGCTAGGATAAAAAATGGCGCCTTACTGTAGCTGCATAAGTCTGAGGAAGAGAGTAAGACACTCCCTGGAGTAGTTCCTTCTCACAATATCCCAGCTACTCCCTAAGTTAGATTCAAGGATTGGGAGGGCCTAGGTGTTTGCCCACATCCTAGATTGTATAATTTCATCAGTGGGAAAATGGACCCACAGAAAAGACATTCACATACCCTTTCTTATACTGGGGATTCACTCCCAGTTTTTTACCATTCCTGGCCATGCAGGCTGCCTGTTTTACTTCTTCTTTTGAACTCCCATGTTCCTTCTTGGATAATATATTTAAAGCGTCATTGTTGTTTTGGTTCTTCAAGGTAGGTGAGGCATGCTGAAAGTGCTTCTAATCAGCCATCATTTGACCCAATAATTTCTCTTCTGACACTTTATATGAAGATGATTACACATGTACATAAGGAAGCACACATAGGTATTTTCATTGTGTTAATAACTTTTAGAAGTCTCTCAAATAATCTTATTGCTTCACTTAAATTCAAAAATCAAGTTTAGATTCTGTGGAGCTGAAATGCTCACTAGCTGCCTCATCATTGGCTCTATGGTTATCTAATTTTTTACAAGGGCACCAAAAGACACAGTGAGGAAAGGATAGTCTCTTAATAAATAGTGCTGGAAAAAGTAGATTTTATCATGCAAAAAATGAATTTGAGCCCTTATCTTATAACATACCCAAAAATCAACACAAAATGGATTAAAGACCTAAATGTAAGACCTGAAACTCCTACAGGAAAACATAGGGGAAAAGCTCTTTCACACTGGCCTTTGTAATGATTTTTTGGATATCACACCAAAAGCTCAAAATACAAAAGCAAAAATAAATAAATGGAATTACATCTAAATAAAAATCTTCTGCAGAGCAAAAGAAGCTATCAGTAAAATTAAAAACAACCTATAAATTGGGGGGAAATGTTGCAAACTATGTATCAGATAAGAGTTAATACCTGACACTTTTTAAAGTCATAATATTTAATAGCAAAAAAATTAAAACCTTATTTTTAAAATGGACATAGGACCTGAGTGTACATTTATCCAAAAAGGAAATAAAAATGGCCAACAAGTATATGAAAAGGTGTTCATCATCACTGATCATCAGAGAAATGCAAATCAAAACCACAATGAGATACCATCTCATACCAGTCAGAATGGCTACTAGTAAAAAGTCAAAAAGTAACAGATGCTGGCAAGGTTGCAAATAAAACTGAATGCTTATGCACTGTTGATGGGAGTATAAGTTAGTTTAACCATTGTGGAAAGCAGTATGGTGATTCCCTAAAGAACTGAAAACAGGACTACCATTTGACCCAGCAATCCCATTACTGAATATATCCCGAGGAACAGAAATCATTCTACCATAAAGATGCATGTACATGAATGTTCATTGCAGCACTACTTAAAAGAGCAAAGACATCAAATATAAATGCCCATCAAAGATAGACTGGATAAAGAAAATGTGGTACAGATACACCATGGAATACTATGTAACTATGAAAAAAGAATGAGATTATGGTTTTTGTGGGAACATGGATGAAGCTAGAGACCATTATACTTAGCAAAGTAACACAGAAAAAGAAAACCAAATACCACATGTTCTCACCTATAGGTGGGACCTAAATAATGAGAATTCATGAATACAAACAAGGGAGCAACAGACATTGGGGCCTAGTGAGTGTGCAGGGTGAGAGGAAGAAGAGGAACAGAAAAAATAACTATTGGGTACTAGGCTTAGTATCTGTACAACAAACCTGGGTGACACAACTTTACCTATATAACAAATCTGCACATGTATCCCTGAACCTAAAATAAAAGTTAAAGAAAATCAACATGAAAACACAGTATGGCATCCTAGGTTCTTGCCATTTTTCCACATATAATATTTACCAGTACCTCTCTTCTCAAAAACATAATCACCTTTTAGGGTTTAATCTACCTGGGTTCTAATCATGAAAACTGACTTTTTAAACTGTATTCAATGTCAGTGACACTGTCTCAAACAGATCACTTGGTGGTGGCTGACCACAATGGCACCAGACAGCCAGGAAGTAAAGATTATACTTCTTCTCTCTACCTAGCTATTCTTGTGACCTACAAAGAGTCACTTACATATTCTTGCTTCTATCTTCCTTACAACAATAGCAATATCTACCCAAATATTGTTCTTACTAATGTAAATGTGTTGCCCCATTTATCACCCTCTTGAGAGCCACTTTGATTTCCTTGTTCCTCAAACTATAGATCAGAGGGTTTAACATGGGGATAAGTTTAACATAGAATACTGAGAGCACCTTATCCTGCTTCATGGAGTGGCTAGAGCTTGGATGCATGTACACAGAAAGGGCTGTGCTGTAGAAGAGAGTCACAGCTACTAGGTGGGAGGCACAGGTATTGAAGGCCTTGGCACTACCTTTGGTTGATGACATTTTCAGTATTGAAGCTACAATAAAACCGTAGGACACAAGGATAACAAGCAAAGAGCCCAACCCAACAAAAATAGCTACCAGAAAAACAGCCATTTGGCTGATAAAGGGATTAGAGCAAGACAAGGAAATAATCTGAGGTATGTTACAGAAGAAATGTTGGATGATGTTTGGCCCACAGTAGTAGAGATTAAAGCAACGCACTGTTTGAACTAAGCTACTAACAAATCCACTCCCATAGGCTCCAGCCACCATCTTCCAACAGATAGCAGGGACCATGATGGCTGAGTACTGCAGAGGACTGCCGATGGCCACATATCTGTCACAGGCCATGACAGCCAAGAGGCAGCACTCAGCCAGACACATCCAGGACCCAACAAAATACTGAGTGGCACAGGCAAAGAAGGAAATTGTCCTCTCATCTTTTAAGAAGTCTGAAAGCATCCTTGGGCTGATGGTAGAAGAATAGCAGATGTCTATAAATGACAGGAAACTGAGAAAAAAGTACATGGGTATGTGCAGGTGAGAGTCCATCCTGATGAGGATGATAAGGCCCAGGTTCCACATCAGGGTCACAAGGTAGATTGCCAGGAAGACTAGAAAGAGGATGAGCTGAAGCTCTTTGTCATCTGAGAGTCCTAGGAGAACAAACATGGTCACAGAGGTGTGGTTTCCACTTACGTTCATGGATCTGCTTTGTGTCAACTGCTGAGAAAATGGAATGAGAAGAAAATGGGTTTATTCCACCCCCCAAAAAAAAGAAACACTATTTTTTTCAGTCATGAATCTGGCTAAATATAAAAACTTGAATCATCAATGTTGAGTTAATTTGTGTCTTTCATATATACAATCATGAAAATTCACTAAAAAATTTTTTGTTAGCTATTATGCTGAAGATAGTAAATAAGCATCATTAGTATGATACCACCTAAAAGGTCTTAGTTTCATGTGTTCCCATTTTATAACACATGAGACTTTGAAGATATGCTAAATTAAGAAAATTCTGTCATTTTTCTCTACAGTTGACTCTTGAACAACAGGAATTTAAACTATGCAGCTCTACTTATACACGAATTTCTTTTCAATAAGTACAGTGGAAAGTTTTTTAGAGATCCATAACAATTTGAAAAAAACTCACAAACTGCATAACCTAGAAATACCAAAAATATTAAGAAAAATGTACATCACAACTTCATAAAATATATACAGACATTAGGCTATTTTATCATTTATTATCATAAAATATACAAAGATCTATTATAAAAAGTTAATTTTTTAAAAAAAATTATGATGAACAGACCATTTATTGGCTCACAGTTCTGGAGGATGTGAATTCCAAGATCAATGGACTAACATCTGGCAAAGGCCTTCTTGCTGTGTCATACCATGACAGAAGAGCAAAGGGAGTGCAAGAGAAAGAGTAAAAGAGGGCCAAGTTCCCCCTTTTATAATGAACTATCTCCCTTGATAATGGCATTAATCCATTCTCTCCACCTTAATGGCCTAATCACATTTCACTGGGCCTCATCTCCTAACACTGTTGTAAAAGTTAAAATTTATCCAAAGTTACATACAGACACTTAAACACTCATGGTACCATTCACAAATGAAGAAATATAAGCAAACATAAAGATGCAGTATTAAATCATAACTATATAATTAACTGTAGTACATACTTTACTGCTATAATAATTTTGAAACTATCTCCTGTTGCTATTGCAGTGAGCTCAAGTGTTGAGAGTTCTGCTTAAAGTGCTTTGTGAGGCTAGTCATCCTCATGTGGGAAATTCATCTCTCCAAAAAATGCATAGAGCAGTAAAAAGTTCTCTTTCATGGCTCTCACATATTTTTCATTGTGCTTAGTACAGTATCATAAACCTTGAATAACACCATGGGACACATACAAAGTGCTACTAGTGACACTGGAAGTGCTCCCAAGAAGCAGAAAAAATTGTCATGATATGACAAGAAAAAGGTGAATTGTTTGGTATATATCACAGATTGAGGTCTGTAACTACAGTTGCCTGCCATTTTAAGATAAATGAAACCAGCACAAGGACCATTGTGAACAAAAGAGAAGGAAATTCATGAAGCTGTTACTGCAGCTACTCTAGCAGGTACAAAACTCTTACACTTTTTGTGAAATACGTTTTTATCTCATACTGAAAATGCAACTTTTATGTGGATGCAGGATTGCTATATGAAAGTCATACCTACAGACTCTAATATGATTCCAGAAAGAGTGAAGTCACTATATGCCAGCTTAAAGCAAAAGGAAGATGAAAGCTGGAGAATTTAATGCTAGTAATGGATGGTTGGATGATTTTCCAAAGAGGTTTGGCTTTAAAATATCAAGATAAAAGGAGAAGCAACTTCTGCTGATCAAGAGAAGCAGAGGAATTCCCAGACACCATTAAGAAAATGAAAATCATTAAACAGAAAATTTATCTGCCTGAAGAGGTTTTTAATGAAGGCAAATGTACTCTATTCTAGGGGGAAAAATGTCACAGTAGACATTTATTAATAAAGAAGAGAAGCAACATCAGGATAGACTAACTTGTTTTGTGCAAATGCAGCTGAGTTCACGATTTATTAATAAAGAAGTTTTATTAGTAAAGAAGAGAAGCAACATCAGGATAGACTAACTTGCTTTGTGCAAATGCAGTTGAGTTTATGATCGGGACTGCCCTTATCTATAAAGCTTGCAAAGAAAAGATAAACACCAGCTGCCCGTCTTTCAGTTGTACAATAATGAGGTGTAGATAATGAGAATGCTTTTTCTGGATTAGTTCCAGAATGGATGCTTTGTGAAGTCAGGAAGGTACTTCCTTTTTAAAAAAATATTTTGATATTGGACAATGCGCCTGACAACCCAGAACCCCATGAGTTCAACACCAAAGGCCAAAGTGGTCTACTTGCCATCAGAAACAATGTCTCTAATTTAGCCTCTAGATCAGGGGGTTACAATGACCCATAAGTCTCATTACACATGGTAAATTGTCAACACTTTGGAAAAGAATCCCAACAGAGAGGACATTAAGAAAGTCTGCAAGAATTACACCATTGAAGATGCCATTGTTGCTACAGAAAAAGCTGTGAAAGCCTTCAAGCCCCAAACAATACATTCCTACTTGTGAAAACGTTCTCCAGCCATTGTGCTTGACTTCACAGGATTATGACAGAGAAAACCAAGAAAATCATGAAAGATTGTGAGCATCTAATAGTGGTGAGGGGGGTATCAAGACATGGATCTCAGAGAAATTCAAAAGCTAGTGAACACCACGTCAGAGGAATTAACAGAAGACAGCTTGATGGAGAGGAGTGTTTTCAGACAAGTGCCAGATAATGAAGAGGAAGACATAGAAGAAGCGGTGCCAGAAGACATATTGATGTTAGACAATTGGGCAGAAGGGTTCCAATTACTCAAGACTGCTTTTGACTTCTTTTATGACATGGACACTTCTATGATACAAGTATTGAAACTAAAGCAAACGGTGTAAGGTTTGACAACATATAGAAACATTTTTAGAGAAATTAAAAGGCAAAAAAAGTCAGGCAGAAATTATGTTGTATTTTCATAAAGTTACACTGAGTGTGCCTGCCAATCCTGCCTCCCCCTCTATTTCCTCCACCTCTTCTCCTTCTGCCACCCCTGAGACAGCAAGACCAATCCATCCTCAGCCTACATAAGCCAGTTTTTCTAAAAACCCCTCTGCAATCTGAAGACAATGGGGATTAAGGTCATTATGATGACCTATTTCCACTTAATGAATAGTAAATACTTTCTTTTTCTTATAATTTTCTTAAGAACATTTTCCTCTAGCTTACTTTGTTGTAAAAATACAGTATAAAATACATGTAACATTTAAAAATGTGTTGAGTATTTAAATTATTGGTAAGGCTTCCAGTCAACAGTAGACTATTATAATACAAGCTTTGTGGGAATCAAAAGTCATATGTAAATTTTTTACTGCACAGGGAGTCAGTGCCCCTACCCTTGGATTCTTCAAAGGTGAACTGTATGGTGAAATAGGATGACTCTGCTCAAGCATGACTCCAGTATTCACTCAATGCTTCAAGAAGAACTTGGATCATCCTGGCCCTCTTACGTAGAATGAAGTGCTCTTTAAAATCTCCTTGAGGACTAACATCCAATCAATCTATAATAAGGGAGTATCGACAATTCTGTAACTGCTTTTAGGCTCTCATAAAGCCTGGAAAGATATAACAAAAATGTAGCAAGATGGTAGGAAGTCACACGCTAAGAAGCAGCTTGGAAATGGGTATTACTTAACCAATTTAATAACTCTGGGAAGGCTCCTGAGAAGTTAGATAACACAAGGTTGAAAGATTTGTTATATTCATTATATTCCCTTCCTAGCAGTTGCATTTCTTTCTCAAATCTGAAATATTTATAAGTTAAATTTTTTATGACAGTAATTCTTTAACTTATTTGGGTCAGTGATGCTTTTAAAAATCTTTTGGACACTCTGGACCCACTACCCAGTAAACTGCAACCACTTACAACCTTTGCATACAGTTTAAGTGAATTCTCAATCATCTTCAAGCCTATCCACGGTAGCCAAGTTAAGGACTTCTCCTATAAGGCAGAGTGACTCAAACTCATAAAAGGCTTAAGATGCTTAGGCAATTACATACGTATTACGAATTGAGGTAGAATTTTGAGGAGTCCTTTCTCATTTTCACTTTGGAGCCAGTTCAGGGAAAGCAAAATACTAAGTCTTCAGCCAAATGGTAACTAGCCAATCAAATATTTTTGCCTCAGGCACTATATGCTCTCTTCAAGATTCTATAGCTGTCATTCTTTTTAGATCATTAGAACATCCCCCAACCAAAACACATGTTTATTCAAATACCCTTACATTAAAAAGGAAGTCATGGGGGGCCTTGAAGGCAGAAAATAGCTGTCAAATATAGCCTGGGAGTTGTGTCCAAGGGTAGAAGTAGAAATCTCAAACATTTCCATTGCTGTGATATTAATGGAATAAACCATGTATGATCTACAAGTATTTGTCAACATTAGCCATCCAAAATATCTTCCTTCTCCCTAACCATTTCCCAGTCTCCCAGTTCCAAAAAGAAAAAGATCTCCATAGAAACATCAGGCTATTTATAGAGAAGCACACTCAAAGTGGTTCTTTTCTCAAAATCAGATCAGTCTGATTTCAGATCAGTCGTGGCTTCCTGTTGCACTGCATTGAAAAAAAAAATTTTAAGAAATAAGGTCTTTAATTGTAAAAGAACATTTAGATATTTGTCATGAATATGAAAGAGGAGATTTGTAGCAGATAGACAATGCATTTAGCATCCCAGACTTAGGAGTAGCTCTGTCCACAGTAAGACTGAATAGAAAAAGAATCTTGTGGGAAAAGAACAGAAAGTTGTATTTGTTACCATTTTCATCATCATCATCATCATCGACAGTCAGAAGGACAAAGATTTATTGAGTAGCTACATACATACTGACCTGCCCCTTATAATTATATATGCAGTTTTCTCTAATTTATGCTCATTCAATATAGGAAACTTAAATCTGATATACTATTTACTAAACACAATATTTGCATTCTGAAAATTGCCTCTATATTTCTATCATATGTCTCTGGGACCTCAGTTTGTTGGATCTTTTTGCTCTGTTCTCCACATCAATAAAACTTTCATTATTTATATTTCTCTACTGTGTTCTG